TGCACTGTAAAGAAGTCTTCCCGGACCAATAACCGCCCGCGCCGAGGACCCACATGACACTAGCGCGCCGTCAAAAAAATATATAACAAAAAAGCTCGGGAGAAGCTTTGAGGTTCTCTTTTCCCTTCTTTTTCTTCATCCTTCCAATTCAAGTAAATGTGAGTAGCACCTTTCGATGCCACAACACCCACCGCGCCGTCCACCGTTACTAACAACGACAGATGATGAAAGCCAGCGTGTATTCCTAGATGATGCTTTCCACCCTCCGCCTCTGGTAACTCTCCTTCTTTTCGGGAGGCTCAAGTGGTTGCCTGTACGTGGAGGGACTGGAAATCGTGAAATAAGCGTTCGGCACACCGACCTTGTATTAACGGACGCGATGACGGCACTCTGACCAACACTTGAAAGAAGGAGGCAACCTTTGCTAACGCTATTTTGGGATGGACACGCAAAGGGAAGCCACAACATAAGGGATGCCGAAATGGAGAGAGGGAGAGACAGGACGGCGAGACAGGACGGCGAGACACAAGTCGTTTCCCATGTCACCCTGTGCCCGCTGTCTTGCTTTCTCGCGTCGCTTCCGGGTGTCCTCTGCATGCCCTGTCATTTCTTGTCGTGCTCTTGTTGTCGGTTTCCATCTGTTTTGCTTAACTTTGCGTCACATTCCGCAGGGACCCGGACCCGCAACAGCTTCTGTCTAAAGTTGGGCAGGATTCTGCTATTGGTGCAGCTGTTATCTTTTGTGTCCTCCCTCATCCTCTCAACATTTATGTATTGTTTGTTTGTCTTCCCGTGTTTTGATCATTATTGTCGTTTTCATAGCTACCCTCCTAGGCCAGCCGGATAGAAAAATATATCTTGCTAAACATACTTGCCATAAGTGGGAATCGACGTGCCTGGCCTGACCAATCAGGGGTGTATCGCCCTCGCGTGGCCGCTGGAGAATTGGTATGGTAAGAATCCCCCACTGTCCCAGTGCAATGGCTGCCCGACGTCAGCACCTTCCATGGCAGCTAATTGGCGGTTTAATACGTCGTAAAACGCAGACCGCCGTAACCACAACACAGCGCCGTTAGCGTCTTCTCTTGCCCATTCTGGCGCATCTCCGCGTAATCCTCTTGGCTGTGCCTTCCTGTGCCTCGCTCGCCCTGTCTGTTGTTCCTTCCCATTAGAATCCCAACTTTGTAGCCTATTTATCCTGAATACTTGCACTATCGTCGGCTTCATTCACGCCAAATATTGTACCTCATATACTTTGCACGTTTGTAGCGCCGTTCTCTCTGGCCGCGCGCAGCCTCACCGCCTGCCGTTCCCACCATTCCCCAGAGCGTCTGTTCTATCTCTTTAGGCCAGTTCGCAGCCCTGCAGGAGCTAATTCCCGCCGCCGCCGAGCATTCCACCTCTCTCCACCCAGCCTCTTGCTTTTCGCTCTCCTTTCCTCGTCGGTTTCCCATTGACTTGATTCCACCCCCTTTCCTGGTTGTTTTGTCCCGGTATCGTTATTTATTCCCCCTCTGCCATGGCGTTGGTACCAATTGTCGCAACAGTCGCCTAAACACCCAGCTACGTCGTCCCTGTCCCACTCCTATTTCCCTCGTCTGCCACGAAACGGGTACACAAAGAAAGCAACCCGTCGAACTCGTTGAATCCCTTAACGCCCCTCGATCTCCTCTTTAAAAACTGCGGCTCCTTGCTACTCGCGCACGTCCTCTGTCTCTCCCCTCGCCCGCCATCCGACTTCCTGGCGGCCTGTCCGCCCGCCGTGCTCAAACGGTTCAGTCTACATACGACGTACACCGCGGTCTTTTCTTTACTCGCCCTTGATCGCCCCGCCCTTGGTAGCCTTTGACAGCTGTCTGACAGTTTTCGACCAAGAGCGGCTTATGCGCCTGCGGCATCCCCGTGTCGTGCCCTGCCCTATTCATATCTGCGGCCCTGGTTGTCGATCATCGATTTTTACGTCGCCGGTTTCTAGCAACCCTCCAGTTTTCGGCCTCAAGACGTAACCAGGTCGTTGGATTCTAGCCTGTTCGTGCATCGGTTTTCTTCATAGTGTCACAGACTTTATAGCACCCTCTGCGCCGGCGCCCACCAGAACGCCGCCTTCAGTTGGCAGCTGTTGCAGCTCCCCGACCACCATGGCGAGCTCCTTTGAGAAGTCCGTCAAGGGCGCGACCAAGGTCAAGGTATGTATGCAGTCTTTTGACGCTGTCCGTCTTGCCTTCGTTCTCTGCTGACGGCCCTATTTCTCCACCTCCAGCTTGCGCCGCCGAAAACAAAGTACATCGAGCACATCCTCATCGCCACACATGCAGACGAAGCTGGCGTCGGCGAGGTCTTCCGCGCCCTGCAGTACCGCCTCCACGACTCCACATGGACGACCGTTTTCAAGAGTTTGATTACCGTCCACCTCATGGTCCGTGAGGGCGCCCACGACGCCACGCTTTCCTATCTCGCCAAGCACCGGAATATTTTGGCCCCAATTTCGATTAATGATGGTATGTGGCAAGACAGGAAGGATGCATGGCGTCCAGATGTATCGTGCTTTGTTTGTGACGAAAGAGTAAATGTTGGATGGCGGGCTTGGAGTATATCGCTGACTTTCCTCTACAGCACAGACACAAGGCCGGAACATCAGGCACTACGCAACCTACCTGAACGAACGAGCACGAGCGTACCGAGACACAAATTGCGACTGGGTGCGAGTTAAAGAGACACGCCTGGAGAAGCTCACGGTGGACAAGGGCTTGTTGCGTGAGACCGAGGCTGTGCAGAACCAGCTCACGGCCCTTTTGAAATGCAGCGACGTGAGTCTTTTCGTGCACGTCGTGGTGGAACCATCCGACTTGGGTAGTCTGTGTTCTGAGTGCTAACATCTTGGACAACCAGATTATCGACGGCGACCAGCTAAACGAGATCACCATCTTTGTCTTCCGCCTTTTGGTCCGGGACCTGTTGGCCCTGTTCCAGGTTCTCAACCAGGCCATGATCAATATCTTGGGTAAGCCATATACCATGAGACGCAAGCAGGGCCACGCAGCATCGGTGACATGGGTAACATAGTCGGTACTAACACACCCTCGTACAGGTCACTTCTTTGAGATGTCCAAGGTCGACGCCGACCGGGCAATGCAGGTGTACCGAACCTTTACGCGGCAAACCGACCACGTTGTGCAGTTCCTCAGCATCGCCCGCCAACATGAGCACCAGACCCGGGTTGAGGTGCCCAAGCTCAAGCACGCGCCCGTCAACCTGGGCCGCCAGCTAGAGGAGTACCTCAGCGACCCCGACTTTGAGGTCCACCGCAGACAGTACCTAGCCGAGCTCGATGCGAAAAAGTCCAAGGGCAGCTCAAGCAGCTCAACATCCAAGCCGCTGGGCGGCGACAAGAGCAGCTCCACAAACCGCAGCAACACAACAGCGGCCAAGCCGTCGTCCTCAACAGCAACGAAGTCGGCGGAGACCACAAACGGTTCCAGTAACAACAATCTCATTGACTTTTTCGATACCCTTGAGCAGCAAGTCCCGGCGCAAGCACAGCCTGCACCACAGCAACAACAGCCGCAGCAAACGGTGCAAACCGGCATGACGCCATGGGGCCACGTGGCGAACAATGGCGTCTTCCCTGACCAGCAACAGCAGCACGTCGGCATGTTCCAGCAGCAACCGAACGGCTTCGGTGCACAGCCGACCGGCTTCCAGTCTACCAACCCGTTCCAAATGCAGTCTACTGGTGCAGCTTTCAACCTGCCGCAACAGCAGGCCCCGCAGCAAATGCAGCCTGCTTTCACAGGCATGGGTTTCGGTGGGTTTACGCCACAGCAACAGCAGCAACCACAGCAACAGGGTTTCCAGCCAACGGCTCTCGGATCGATTCCACAGAACTCAACTGCGTCATTCCAGCAGCAGCAGCAGCCAGCAACCCCTTCGACCCTGGGACCACAGCAGGTCGGCAGGGCGGCTGGCCAGCAAGCCACGAACCCGTTCAGACAATCCATGATGCCCACGGGTGGTGTACAAAACATGGGCTCCACCTTCAGCAACGGCAGCACCCCGAGCCCGCTTGTCGCCCAACAAACATCGACAAACCCCTTCGCCCGCAACTCGCCACAAACGGCACTGCCGTTCGGAACGCCAAACTCAGCTACCGGGACCGGCTCTCCAGCTGCGCTGGTACCGATGAAGACGGGCACAAACCCGTTCGCCAAAGACTATGGCATGCCTCAGCAGGAACAGCAACTGCGGCCACACACAGCAGGTGGTCTCAGCAACAATACACCTTCGATGGGCGCTGCCCCGCTCATACCACAGCAGACAGGCAGCACAAACCCCTTCCGGCAGTCTACCTTTATTAACCAGAACACAGGCATGGGCTGGCAGCACAACCAGAATACAGGTGGCCTGCTAGTCCAGCTCGAGACGGTGCCTGTCTTCCCACGCCCAGGACAGCAGAACCAATGGCAATAGGTAGTTCGGCTGTTGTAGACGGGCGGCATTCCCTTTTCCTCTCCTTTTTTTGCCATTTAATTGCCACCCGCTTTTTATTATCTCTCTTTGCCAGCTGTTGGCTGTCCACCCACTGTTGACTGTTGATTCAGCGAGGCGTTTATATTCCAGGGTTTTATCATTTTTACCAACCTCCTTTTATTTCATTTTATTTCACATCTTTAGTTCACCCGAGCTGTTTTCTATTCCATTCACCATCTATGCTATTCCACGTTTTATGCGTTTATTCTAGCTTCCTCTATTCAAATACATATTGAGAATTTAGTTTTCATTTGATAAGCAAAGATGCCTACTGAAGTGTATAATCACGCCCGCTTTATTGTGAAAACTCTCAGCAAATAGTCCTCCTTTTATAAATATGATACAAGTGGCCCTTGACACAATTTCATCACAGTTTTTATCCAAAACGCCGACTGCAATGCATATACAATAAAAGATCAAATCGAACAAATAGAGTCAGAAATAAGCCGCTCTCTAGCTCAGTAGGAGTCGACCTACATCTTGATGGGTACATTGGATGGGTCCCCAGCTGCCAATGATGCACCGTACGTTGCCACGCCCACGGCAGACGACCCTTCGCGGCCCGTCTCTTTTTCGTCGTCGACAAAGACGGCCAGACCGGAGAACGCCTCGAACAGTGCCCGCGCGCAGTACTCGTGCACATCGTAGCCGCCCACCACATGACTGTTGTGCTCGCGCGCGCCCTGCAACCAAGTGTTGCGATACTCACCGGGCTGCACACGGAAGCGTGAGGGAGCCGGGTCCAAGCCCTCGTATGGATCGTAAGGCCCGTCGGCTGCTGCCGCTGCTGCCGCCGCAATCTTGCGCTTGTCCTTGAGACCACGGATCGTGAGTCCCGGTGCATTGGAGGCGTTGTCCCGGTTGAGCAAGGCCTGCTCCTCGGCATTGAGGAGCCCCTCACGCTGTTGCTGGCCGCGGCGACGGAGCATGATACGCCCAGCTGCCACGCCGCCGTCGTCGTCAGGTGCCTTGCTGAGACTGTCGAGATCGGCCTCGTGGGCGCGCACCTTGGCCCGACGTTCCTCTTCGTCTTGGCGCAGGGCTTCCAACCGGCGAGTGCGTGCTGCCTCCTTCTCCGTGGCCATGCGCGCCTTTGTGAGCTCGTCGGCGCGCTCCCCGCGGCGGCGGTTCCGGTCAATCTCGGCCCGGTGCTCGGCCTCCCACCGCGACAGCTCGGCCTCGGCAGCGCGACGCGCCGGCACAACCGTGCCGACGAGGTCCATGGTCAGGGACTCGACCTTTTCAAGGTATTCGTTGTAGTCGTCGAGGCTCTCAAAGTCGTCCTGGCTTTGGTTAAAGACTGCCGCGACTCGTCGGCGCAAGTCGACTTCCCGCTCAACAACAAGGTCGTCAAAGAATGGTTTCCGAAAGTCCTTGCGACGCAGAGTTTTGTGGCAGCCGGCGTAGGGGCACTGGTTGGGACCGGCAAAGAGGCGGTTGACGCAGTTGGAGCACATGGGGTGGTAGCACTCGGGGTTGATAAGAAACACCATGTCTTTGTTCAGGTAGCGGATGGTCTTGCAGACGGGGCAGATGTCGTCGACAGACCCGTTCGTGGTGCCGCCAGTGGCAGCTGGGTCGACGACATCCATATTTCCTGAAGAGTATGCCACTGTTGTGGTCGCTGGAACTCTTTGTAGAGGCTTGTTTCGGAGGAGTTGGCCGATGGAAGAGGAAGCCGTTAATCGATTATGCAGCTCGTGGCTGGTCAATCGAGAGTCGGGAACCGCTTGTACGCTCTCACGGCATTGGGTTAGAGCACACTCGACTTGATGTTACATGTGCTGCGCCCGTTTTCAGAGGATTCAAAGGGTGCAGATGGTCGAGCTACCGCCCTCGGACGTGATCGTGGTCGGCAACAGGTTGAAGATGAAGTTGGAGTGAGGAAAGAATCAGGCCTGGGGAGCTTCTGAAGCTACATATACCAAGATTAGTCAGATTTTGGCAAGGCTGGAGCTTTGTTCACAACTCAGTGCAAAGGGCAGCCGTGATTGGCTAGCGACATGGCTGATGGCGGGGGAAGGCCCTAGAATCTCAATTGTAGGCGTTCGGAAGGAGCGCTTGGTGCGTTAGGGCGGGGCGGGCAGGTGCATTTCGTCAGCCTTTCGACCTCCTTGTTCCAATGTCAAAAGTCGCCCTGATTTGTGACCTCCCGATCTCACTCACGCGACTCTTTCTCTCTCCCACCGCACATAACTGGGATATAATACACCATGGCTGACAATGGTACGTGCTTTATTTTTTCTGTCAACCCTCTACGTCCCAGCGGGCAACACGTACTAACGGGCACCAACAGAACCCACGCCCGCCGAGGAGGCAGCCGCCCGCGCCAAGGAACAGCAGGAGCAGGATGCGCTGCCGTACAAGTGGACTCAGACCATTGGCGACCTGGATCTGACCGTGTCGATCCCCGGCAACCTCAAGGCACGCGATCTTGTTGTGGACATCAAGAAGACGGCGCTGTCGGTGGCCATCAAGGGACAGGAGCCGTTTGTCAAGGGCGATCTCTTCCAGGCGGTGCGGCTGGACGAGTCGACGTGGACGCTGTCGGCCAACTCGGACGGCACCAAGACGATCGAGGTGCACCTGGACAAGATCAACAAGATGGAGTGGTGGCCGCACGTGGTGACAACGGCGCCCAAGATAGACGTGACGCGCATCCAGCCTGAGACGTCCAAGCTGTCGGACCTGGACGGGGCCACACGTGGCATGGTGGAGAAGATGATGTTTGACCAGCAGCAGAAGGAGAAGGGCCTGCCGACGTCGGATGAACAGAAGAAACTTGACATTCTCAAGAAGTTCCAGGCGCAGCACCCAGAGATGGACTTTTCCAACGCCAAGATCAGCTAAGCAGTTAGAAGCAGATGCAGAGATACGTCAAAAAGACGTGAAATTTGTTAAGACTATGATATTGAATGAAGAAAAATAGCCATTTGAATAGCCATTTGAATAGCCGTAAAATTGTAACCTCCGTGAAATATGATGCAGAGTCTCACAATTTACAAATATGAGGAATATCTTGTTCTATGGGATGCCAAAAAGTGTGCGAGACCGTCCCTAGCGGGTGTATGATGTGTTGCAAAAAAAGCCACCAGAAATGCAAATATGCTTCCATGTTACCCGGAATATGTTCCCAACCTATCCATCAACGCCATATCCTAGCCAGTAATGCGCCAAAACAACCTGGAGAATATTCACAAATCTTTTAAGACATAAACTGCTCGCCTAGTTTTGCAGCTTTGAACTTGCTGATGCGCGGACCGCCGTCATCTAATCCCACGGGAACGACGGCCGACTCGCTCGCCTGTAGAAACCCGCCCTGTTGCTGGATGAGCCGATTGCGTGTCTTGTGGTATTCCGTAGCCGCCTCCTGCATCAGGATACTAGCATCCAGCTCGTGGGGCTCTCTGGGCTGCGTCACCGCCGTTCGCTCAATGACTTCGTCGACATGCGTCCTGCCCTCTGGGCCGTCTGGCGCGACTGTGCGGTCCGCGTCAAGGAACCGGACAGGAGCTTGGTGGGGGCCTTTTGGGAGACCGCCGTTAGTAGCGGCCGTGCCATCGACATCGCCACCGCCGCGGGCCTGTTTGAACCGGGAAACGCGCTTCGGTTTCTGCGTGGCATCACGTGCCGCTGGCGGCTGGGGAATGGTGCTGCTGCTGCCATTTTGTTTGCTCCCACGTTCTACGATGACCTCACTCATCGGGTCGACCACAAGCTGCGCATGCGCCTTGTCCTTGGCCTTGGTAACCACAGAGGCAGGGGCAGAGGTTAGGGATGCAGCCGGTGGCACGGTCTCCAAAGGCGCAATGTCCACAGAGCTGGCAAACGACACCTTCTTTGCATCGCTACCTGTGGCCTTGACCTTGGTGCGGAAATTCTCTGTCGGTTCTTTCAACACCGATGTTAGACTTGCAGGCGACTTGGGCGATTGCACGTCACCATTTGCATTTGCCGGGGCGCCGTTGGGCGCATTGCCCGCAGCCACCGCCGCAGCCTCAGCGAGGCCCGAGACACGAATCCGGCCCAGGCTCTCCGCAACGTCGTCCGTCGTTGCAGCAGCGGCACCTTCGGCCCCAGAAGCCGCCGACGGGGCCAAGGTGGATGGATGCTGCAGCGGAGCCACACCCAGCTTCCGCTCCAACTCCCGCATTCGCTCGCGGTATGTCTCGTCGATGACGCTGTACTTGGATCGGCCGTGTTCATCCTCCGCATCATCATCATCTTCGTCGTCATATTCTTCTTCGTAGAAGTCATCGTACCCCTCGTCGTCGTCAGACGTGCCCTCCTCTAGGTCGAGCTGTGCGACAATCGGTCCAATCTCGGATATACTGTACTCGAGCATCTCCCGGCGGAGGGCAGCCTCATCCGCCGGCTCGTCGTCGGGTACAACCGACGTCGAGGCGTCAACAACAGACTCTTGGTCCTTTGCACTGCGCATAATGTTTTCCAGCCGTTGCGCCGCAAAGGACGTAGGCTGCGGGAAAGAAGAGTAGGAATCGCCGGCCTTTGCATACTCAGAGAACGACACAGTTTTGCGAGCTGTTGACGTGTTCGGTTGAAGTTTCGATGCTTGAAGCTTCTCTTTCGTCACGTCTTTTGTCTGCTGTGAAACCTCCGGGTCTTTTCGGCCTGCAGTGGTGTCTGTTGTCGACTTCTTGGCCGCAGTGGGGCCACCAGGTGGAATTTCATCGATGCCGGCCTTCTTCAGCGCCTCCCTCACACGCTCTCGTGTGTCTGATGGCGTGTGTAGCTGTACGTCGATCACGTTTCCGTCCTCGTCCAGTTGCTCGACAATGTCCGTGACGGGGTCGTCAAGGTCCCCTCCATCGCCATGACCACCACCAGCTTGTGCGTCCTGTTCGGTCTTGTCTTCGTCATCCAGCATCTCCGTCAGCCCGCCGAGCTGCAATGCCGACAGCTGCTTCACCACCGCCTCCACCTTCTTTTCCAGGGTTTCTGTGTTTTGGTGCACATAGTCGAGTCGCCGGCCGATGGCGCTGGCAATATGGTCGGTGCTTCGAGTAATCGTCTGCCCCTGGCGGGCACCAAACAGGTCGCACACGGTCTGGTGGTCGACCAGCTGGCCGTCAAAGTCGCGGCGGATGCGCACGAGGGCGGCCTGCTGCGCTTGCTGTGTCGCCTTGTCGTCGCCGGCGACCTTTCCCCGGGCTAGGTTAACCTCGTCGGCGAGGGCCTCGTATTCGGCGCCGAGCAGGCGCCAGTGGTCAAGTGCCTTGCTCAACTTATTCATCTGTGTATCGAGTTGCGCCGCGCGGTCTTGGAGATTGGCAAGCAGGTCGTGCATCTGCGATAACGCCGAAGCCTGTGGCAACGGCGGTTGCGTTTGTTGTGACATTATGGTAGTGATATGAAGGAAAAAGGAAGAAAGGGGGAAAAGGAAAAAAAAAAGGGGGGGGGGGGGGAGAAGAGGAAGACAAAATAGGCAAGTGAGGTTCAATCGCGCAGCATTCATGAAGTCACTAAGCAAAGAGGCGACAAAAGTGAAAACGAGAAAGAGCACCCTAACAGAATACCTATTAGGCTCTAATGCCTCTCTCATGACAGCATTGATCAGCAATTGTCGTCCCCCGCCAAAAAAAAAAGCTGGTCCGATAAGAGAGATACAATCACGTGTGCGCGTACACTCTAATTGCGTTCGCAAGACCACCCTTGTAAACTGCAGGTGGAGAGCCGGAGAGTGACAGAGAGCGGTCGAGTAAACCTCGGTTTACGTAGAGTGGAGTCCTGCACGGAACGTGAGCTATGATCTCGGATCGCCGTCGCCAAGCGGTGCCTCCGTTTCCAATTGCTTCGTTCACTCAGGGTTATTTACTCTTGCGTCGCGCTGTGAGAACGAACTGCGTAAAACTGGGCCAAAGAAGGTATTCCAACTGCTCGCTCACACACAGGTTGAACAGAAACCTTGGCGACTGACGCCATTTCAACTGCATGCGACGGCTTTCTTGCTTACTGCTGTGCCAACATCCTCCTTGACAGCCTGTCGGCGTCACGACACACTCGTCTTTCCAATAGTCCTCCTACTCCTCCTCCTGCTGCCAGTCCTCTCCTGTTCCACCCCTCTCTCCCTCTCACATCTTTTCACAATGTCCCCAAAAACACCATCGACAACTGCATCGGACCCCGACACGCCTGGCGATATCTATGAGCTCCAGGGCCACCCCGACGCCATCGCCGAGGCCGAATACTTCCTGAGCGTCCCGTGGTGCCGTGTCCACCTCAAGCCTGCCGAAGGCCGTCCAAAAGGAAGTGCTGCGGCCAAGGAGATCCGTATCGTGCAGCCGGGCTCACGTCGCCGTGTCAAGCCTGCCCTCAACGCCGACGGCTCCTTTACAAGCAGCACCAAGACAATTGACAATGCCTTTTCCACAACACTGCACACACGTGACACGATTGGCGCCTTTATCATCTTTTATGAAGAGCCATCCATACCGGCGTCGGCTGGCGTCAGCCCCGGGTACCGGGCGCCCATTCTCGAGCTCAAAGCCCTCATGAGCATTGGCCCAGGCATCAACGGCCACATTGGCGTGGCGCACGGCGGCATCGTAGCCACCATCCTTGACGAGGTGCTAGGCCTACTGATGCCACTGAACCTGGCGCGCGACAGACACAATAAGCGCATCGGCGCCACGGCGCCGCCACTGCCCGCATCGACCAACCCCTACGGCCCCGAAGCAGCCGCCGAGTCGTCAGCTACCGTCACCAATGGCTTCGTCACGGGCTATCTAAACATCACGTACTCGCGTCCTGTCCGCACTCCGGCGGACATTTTAGTGACGGCGCGGTTCGTCCGCAAGGAAGGGACACGCAAGTACTTTCTCGAGGGCTCCATATGGGACGGCAAGTCTCAGTTGCTGGCCAAGGCGGACCTTTTGTTCATTGCACTGAAGGAAAGACTATAACAGGTACTGCACGATATACGTAGATATCCAATTTCATATTCATTGGTAGCGCTATCATTATTCTTGTAAATCCAAAAGGCCGCCTCTCAAGCTGCTTCGCGCGAACCTGTACCACCCCTGCATGTTTGATTACTTTAGAGAATAAGAAATGGCAAGTGAAGTAGTGACAGATATAAAAAGTCAGTGCATGGTAATGACGGGAAAGGGAACAAATGAAAAAAAATGTAGACAGGTATCAAAAACATTGCAAGGGAAAAAAGGAGCGAAATAGGTTAAACCAATGACACGCTATGCTGTCGTATATACAAAAACAGAAGAAGGCAGAATAAAAAGGGAGGGGGAATATGAAAGGAGCGGCTATGGGAATCATGTGTTGGTGATAGTAGATGCGATGAGGGGTATCTCCTTGGCTTATTTTTTCGTTTGCATATTTTCCAAAAGTGATGTTGCGGATGCACTGCCATGTAGCGGTGCAGGCAAAGCCGCGGTATAATCAATTGATCCGCTTTCCATCCAGGAATCTGGGGCTTTTGGTGTCGTAGTACAAGTTGCGTTCTTGCGTCTGTCTGCGCTGGTCAAAAGTGACGCGTTCATCTTCGTCGAGTGTGAAGGCCTTCTTCAGCCAACCAAAGGCACTACGCTTCTTCTTCAGCACCGGCTGGCCCTTGGAGTCCTGCGTCATCGTTGTCACGCTACTGAGCATGCTCATGCCCATCGAAGATGGAGCATTGCGTAGGTGGTAGGGCCGCGACGGGACCTGGCCGGCCGTGTGCGGGCGCTGTTGCAAAGGCGAGTGCGGACTTGCCTGAACAGGGCGGAAATACTGCTGATCTGAGTGGGGTGAGGGGATAACGTTCGGAATGGTGGGCGGTGAGTAGTCGTGGCCTGCACCGCCTACATTAGTTGGCGTCGCGTCGGTGACCTGCACGCTGGCCGTGCGTTCCATGTCGGAGCTGTAGGCCGAATCTGGGCCCGTAAACGTGCTGTAATTTTGATAGGTCCGCGGCGATGCAAAGACAGGGCGGTGCAGCTGTGGTGCGTTGGGCGGTGGCACCAAGATAGCGTCCGGTGGAGTCGTACGAAGAGACACGCGTTCACGGATGGACGTCTTTTTCTTAGGGATGCCTTTGTTGAACTCCGCGTCAATGGTCCTGTCGGAGGAAACTGAATCCGCAGGCGAAATAACGCTTGAGGACTGCCTCGACAATGTGGAGTGGCTATCGCCGTGCAATCCGCTGGACAATGGCGCTGTGGTACTTCTGTAGCTCAGGCGCTCTTCGACAGGCGGGATAAACAGCCGTGGCGACGGCACCTCAGCACGAGAGCGTGGTTGTGATAGAGTGAGATCCGGGCTGGAGGTGTTTCGACCACTCTCGGGGACACTGGGTGAGGGCAGCGGAGACGCTGTCGGCGTATAGATCTTAGGTTGCAAGATATAAAGGGGCTCGTCCTCTATTGTCTCCTTCTGCGGTGAGAGAGATCCGGTTGGGCTACCGACAGCTCCTTCTAATGCTACAGTTTCGTTCCTATCTTGGTCGACTATGACGCGCAACGGGATTGGCATAAGATCGTGTTCGGAAGACGATACGGCTGGAGCATCCTTGATGACAGTCGAATTTGATTTGATCGTCACAGCATCAGCATCTTGGCTGTCCAATTCTGCCGCAGGCTCATCTGACCGGCTTGTTGTTTGTTGTGTCTCGACGGAATCCTCAATGGGATTTTGAACCATGGATTTGCCGGAGCCTAGTAGTTGTTCGCTTGACACCTCCGCTGGCGGTGTATACTGAAGCGAAGGGACCAGTGTGGCAGCAGCAGTGGCATTGTTGCTGTTGCTGCTGCTGCTGCTGCTGTTGTTGTTGTTGTTGTTGTTGTTGTTGTTGTTGCTGCTGCTGACTGTGCTTAGTTCCAGAAAGTTGGGTGCCATTATATCACCGAGCGCACTGAACCGAAGAGAAAGGCGAGGCGGCATTGGGGTCACATTAATACCGGGAGACAAAGGTGGCGTTGCTTCGTAGGACACCCTAAACGATGAATCCTGTGACTCTTGAGACTCTTGCGACTCTTGTGACTCTTGTGATACACGACTGGTGAGCTCTGGTAGCGTGTACGGCTTGACGCTGAACTGTGACGCAAATTCAGTTAGTATGGGACGTCAATAAATACAAATTGGAAATTGTCTCAAAATGAAATGAAGAAACACCTCATGAGACAGGGCAGGGTAGCAACATACTCTTGTTCGGCGGCTGACTTCACCAGCGCACCGATCCATCTCAGTCACCATATCGGCCAGCTTGGAAATTAAAAGATCCAACGTATTGGTTTTCTCCTCCAGGTCGGCAAACGCATTCAGCCAGCCCTCGGCGTTTCCGCGCATGGCCTCAAAAATCTCGACCACCTCGGCTGGCCGCTCGTGACGCCATGAACCATTTTCTTCCTTGGTCAAGTAGGCGGTAAACTCCTTTGTAGACCGTAGGCCTTCCGAGACATCCTGGATCGTCTGCACCAGGGCGGTCGTCGTTCGCGACAAAATGTGCTCAATGCGGACGTTGCCCTCGACAATGCGAAGACGAAACTCGCGGTCCTCCAGCATTTCCTCAAAAGCAGGCAGATTTCCTAGTGGCAGCTTGAGGTAGTCGAGGCGGGTGTTGAGATCCTGCGTCGCCAATTTCAGGTCCTCCATGGCGGTCTTCAGAAAGTCGTCCACCTCGTCGATGTGGCCCTGCAAGATTGCGACGACCTGGGCATCACTGTTGGCCATGCCCTTGAGCAACAGGTACACGCCAAAGGCAATTTGGGCCAAGAGCTTGCGCAGCTCGTGGCAGTTCTGGGCCGGGCGCATGCGCCACAAGGCGGCGGGTGGACCTTCGGTCTTGTCCTGGTCGAGAAGGCGATCGCGGCGAATCTGTGGCGTGTCGACCCGCAGTTTTGGCTTCATAGAGAGAGTGCCGGATGAGACTTCGGCAAGTGATTCGGCAAACGCTTCCTGCATGGTCGGGATCGGATGTCGTGGGATCGGGGGTTTCTTCGGCCGTCGGCGCGGCGCAGCTTCTGCCGGATTTTGGCTTTGGTCTGGTACGGGCGACGCAGCAGATGGCGAACGCGCGGACTGAGGTTGAAGGGAAGACAGGCGCACAGCAAGCTGGGCATTTTGGCCGTTCTGGCGCAAGGATGCCGCTGCCTCGGTTGCTGTGGACGTCATCGTGTCGAGTCTCAATCCCATGAGCGACAAGTGAACAGAACAGGGCCGATTTGGCCGGTCGGCTACACCGACAAAAACAGCGTACAACCAATGCCGTGGTATTAAGTTTCCACCCAATGGCCAGTCACTTGTAATCTGCGCTAGCTTGCAGACAAAACGCAAGATCAGTGCAACCGACGGAAGGCGGATGCCACAGCTGATATGTAAGTAAACAGGGGGAGGAGCCCAGCTGATTGGGCCGTGTAGAACGTGCTCAGAACCAAGTCGTATAATTGTGCAGAGTAGCACGACGTGCAAACCAACGTCCCGTCAAGACAGTGGCAGGCACTCCGGCCCTAACCCTGGTGCTGGTTTAACGTGCAGGAGACGTTGACCAAGGTCACGTAGTAAGAAGTGTCAAGTTGTCAGGAGCTGTGTGCCAAAGGCATGGCGGAAGTGCAATCCAGATTGGGGTAGAAAACCCAGGTCTGGATTCGTCGAGAGCGAGCGAGGTGACAAAGGTAACAGGAGGGCGAGAGTCTATATCGGCGAAGCCAGTCACAAAAACAACCCGAGGAAATGGCCAGGGGGGAAGCACTGGTATGAAATCGTAGTTGACAAGTATGAGAGCGATGATAGCTAGATCGGCAAGCAGTCGGATTCGACGTGGGTTGCAACAGCCGAGTTCGACAAAGTATTCCTTGCTAGGAGTGAGCAAGAACGGTGTAATTGTATCCAATGGAGCCGAAGCCGTGTGCAGACGGAGCCGTCGAGTTGCGAACACGCGCTGTTGGTTGGTTGCGAGGGAGGAGAGGAGGCGAACTGCAAAGGGAGGGCAAGCCAGGCGACGTACGCCCAGGTGGGAGAACAAAGGAACAAAATCGAGCCGTAGGCGCTCTGTCGAGACGGCCTTGCTATGGAGCCGAGCCGGACAGCAAGGGATATGAGACGAAGGGGGTCGAGGCGAAGGGGAGAAAGATAAAGGATAAACAACGGCAGCAGAGAAGTAGATAGGCCAAAACAGATGCCAGGAAGGAGATGCAGCAACGTGAGACGAAGGGAACAAAACAAGAACAATGAGAAATCAAGAGACGAAGGAAGTTTTGTCAATAGGGTAGTTTGGCAAGACGTGAAAGGGAAACCCAGGAAGGGCGGTACGTTACAAGAAATGAGGGCGAGAGAGACCAAGAGGTAGAGGACCCTGCGAGATGAGAGATTGCTTTCCGGAGGGTTAGTTTTGGGGCTAGGGGGGGCCATGGGGGACGGAGAGGATCAGACGTGAAAGAACAGGAGGGAAAGGAGAGGCCTAGGGCGAAAATGCAGGCGATGAGCAGCAGGAAGAGGACCGGACCAAGGGGAGATAAAATCGTTAGCGTGAATACAATAGCGTGATAAGGTCTCTCTGCATTGCTACGTAATAGGAAAGATACTTCGTAGGGAATCGAAAAACGTGAAAGCGCAACCGGCCAGCTGAAAGAGGAAATAGGGAAATAGGAAATGCGCTAATCATTTGATCACAATGTAGAAAGAGCCAGGTCCTGCGGCAGGTGCAGATGTATTGGCACATTGCAGGCGCGGTAATCGAGGGGTAAACCCAGGAAGGCTGGCTGCAGCAGGTGTCGTGGGAGAAAGAATGCACATTTGCATCCATACCATTCGAACAGGGGAAGAGCAAAAGGGGGATGCGTGAGCGTGAGGATGTGTAAGAGGATATTAAAAATGAGTGAAGGAAAGGGGTCGGACGGAACCGAATGCGGTCGACAAGCTAAGTGCCTAGGAAACAGAGCCTATACTGTGGAGAGAGTGTTGTGAAGGTGCAGGAGACACAGGGGGCAGGTCAGCAAAGGAGACAGACGCAGGAACGAACCACAATTGTCTCATCAGTTTCAACATTTGGGTTGCTTCCAGGGCCGTGGAGAGGAGGCGGCGCAGCAGAGAGGGGAGGGGAAGGAAGGATGGCGTGCAGTAGTAGCAGCTCCAGGGAAGGATATCAGAAATGCTGAATCCATCTCGTTCTTGTGTCGACAAAAGGGCAGCGGAAGTGCAAAACACATTTACGATATCTTACGAAAGAGATAGATAGTGAACAAATCGAGAGCAAAGGTCCAAGAGTTGGCAAGCCACAGGGCCGAGTGGCCATGAGAGTCAATGGGGCCGTTGTTGGTGTAACAGATTCTCCGGCTGTGGATCTTTGGAAAGAGAAAGTCCCTGGGCATATTGGGTGGGGGGAAGGGGGAAGGCGAGTGCGTTGTGACTTCGTCGCGGATTAGACGCGTTGCTTGAGTCATGGACGTTGCTTCCGGGAAGCTGCACATGTACGCCTCTGTTGTAAGTATCTTACAACATAACAGCAATTGAAGGCTATCCCATAGTACTTCGTACGCTCCAGCTCCTGCGGCAGGCGGATCCGTCCTGATGCACATCAAGATGTTCCCTTCCCTTCCCACAGCATCACATCACATCCCTTTTCGGCTGTGGATGCTGGGACCCTGGCTTGAAACGAAACAAATAGCGAGCAAACGAGGGCAGGGGGGATAGACACGAAGGTTGAAACGAAAGAGCTTCTGGTCGATTTGACTACTTTTGTCGATCGACCAGGAAAGCTGCGTGGTGGAAGGTGGTGAGGGTGGAGAAAGCTTCACACAACTGCTTGCTGGTCTGTGATCTTCGGTGATTTTTTGGGCTTCGCTTCAGTGAAGTCGAGCAGAGAAGTAAAGTGAGGCGTGGTTTGTCTTTACGGTGTCTGGACGTTCTTACAATTCTCCGTGTTTCTCTTTTTTAAAATAATAATAATAATAATAATAATAATAATAATGACAATGATAGTAATAAGGCTCGGTATGCAAACTACGGCAAATCGACGCGGTCAACACAACGAACATCGCGCCGTCCCTTCGGTTTGTGGCAAAGAACTTCGGGCATTTCTCAGTAACTCTAAGCCAAGGAATATGTGCAAGCTAAAATGGCCTGTTAGGATTTGGGGATGTGCTGCAGGACTGGACATCGGACGACATCGTGTCACCGTCTTCGACGCCAGTCGCTCCTTCTTCATCAAATACACATACCATAGCGTGTCGTGCCATTTTGGTACGGTGGGTGCCAGGTAAGTGCGAAGCTCTAAAAAGAAGGAGCTCTGAGATGAGCAGGGGCCAGCGCCGCCGCTCAGAACAAGAAAAAAGCACCGTGAAAAAGCGGATGAACAGGGGCCAGGGGTCGACGGTAAGGGGTAAGGCAGGGGTGGAGTGAGCTCCGAGAAAAGCTCTGGGAATCTGGGCGTGCAGGATGAACGCACAACACGGGAAAGAACTGGGCCCAGAATGCGTACCCGGTTTTGGAAGGAGCGGCCCAGGATCAACACAACATGAAGAGGAGCTGCTGGATATGAAAAGAAAACACAAAGAAAATGTTGCGCAATCTAGACCCCAGCAGCCCTCTTGTGTTGCATACGAAGTAGAACCGTTATATTGTTTGCACGTGTGTTGTACGGGCGGGCGCATCTGCACACGTCGATTTAATCAATTTCTAGGCCGTGTTGAGTGGCCAGGTGACACGATTCCCGATGCAAAAGACGCGAGGCGCATCGGTCATTGTGAAAATTGGGTGCGCCGGTTTTGGGTAATCAGAACAGCTATGTTTGTGCAAAGTCTCCGCGACTAGCCAAACAGTCAATTAATGGACTTTCAAAATGTATCTGGCCGTTTCGAATCAGGACAGCCCGGCCCGGGGGTGGCAGTGTCAGCAGGGTGCGACGCGACGAGCGATTCGCGATACTGACCAGACAAGCTATGATCAACCGGAATAGCTGTCTGTCATACCCAGTATGCAGTGCAAGCTCAGCGTCGACAGAAACACGCCAAGTCACTGACAAGAGAACGATTCCCAAAGAAATGGAGAAAGTGGGAGGCTTTGGGAGTGTAAATAACCATTGCCCGTCACATAATTATCTGGTATTTTATCGAATCCTTCCGGTAGTGTAGAGTGTACAATTTATGAAGGCTATTTAATTCACTCCACACGGCAGTATCCCGTTTTAATTCAGAGCACCTGACGAGTGCGGGTACTTCCAAACTCGTTTTTTTATTTCTCGGCGAATTAGGAATTTGTTTCTCGTTTCTACCGTTCAGTGCCTTGACATGCCGCACCAGGTCTCTTGCTGCAGATTGGTAACGATGGCCCGTTTATGGGAAGGGAAAGCGAACGCGAATAGGGCCAATATGCTCTCCAGGTAATTCGTATCGTACATAAAGAAACAGAGACCAGGAGCAACAGAGATCGAATAGAGAGGCTTAGCCAACTTTTCTTACCCGTTTGCCAGATGTTTTGTTTTTTCGTCTCTCATCCCCACAGCGTTGGCACTTTAATTGTTATAATACAGTTATTAAGACGCATGTCGTACTGTGTCATTCTCGTTCACTTTGTCCCCTTTTTTGTTTGGTCCGCTATCTTGTTTCTCACTGGCAGGCTTGTATGCACAGTGGGATAACCTCATTTAAATAACCTTAGTCCGGTCTACATAAGACGCCAGCAAACAGCCGATACGACCATACAAGAGTAGCAAAATGATGCAACTGCAAAAGTGGCATTTGTACGTCGTGCACATCGGCGTTTGCAGAGATGGCTACAGCCGAGATTACAGTGACAAAAGAAAAGGGGTTGATGCGGGAATACCAGAGGCAGGAGCTGACTGAACTTGTTCATTCAAAAAAAACACAAAAGCATTCAAGATTCTCCACTCATTTCTGTTGTCGTTCGTTTCTTGTTCAACAGCCAGCCGTCTCATCCGGCGTCGTCCAGTTTGGCCCTTTATCAACGGGTTGCGTCGACTTGTTTTAAAGAGAGTGGCCAGGACATTGCCCCAGTTGAGATCCAAGCTTCATGCTAAAGAAGTTTAAAGCCATGGGAAAAGATTCTAGAAGAACCCGAATCGCGCTCGGTTGAGAACAAAAAGGAAGCTGCTCGGAAGCCGACGGTCATTCATCCGCAGCGTGAGATGTAGCAGTCCTTCAATCTAATTGCCTTCTGCCGTTCAAGACACGGTAGCGGTACCACATTGAGACTTGGAGCATAAAACAAACCACAATCTTCATTCGTATCGCCACAAATTCTTCAGCCTTCTCAACCCCGGTGCTTCTTTATTTAGATTGTCGTGGCTACAATATGAAACAGAAGCGAAGCTTGCGCAGCGGGACCTATTACAGGGAAAAGCGATCAGGGTTTCCAACGTGTTAATGTGCGTTCTTTGTCCTTGCTCGACTTGGCCCGACTGGGTAAGTCAACAAACAGCCTTACCTCGAAACAGCCTCGTTTCGTGTTTCACGGTGCAAACGACGGACGATGGATAGACCCGCGTTTTACATTATTCTGGGTTAAGGACGGACCACCTACGATCTCTAATCGGAGCCGTCCTACAACAACCTGACAGTACTTGCTTGTTTGTTTTCTAGTCGTGTCATTTTTTCTTGGCCAATTCAATTCCTTTCCATCTCATGATCATTCACGCCACATTAATGTGGTTTCAGACCCACTAATGGAGTTTTTATTTAACAATTTATTTTTAAAAAACCTAATATTAGTATCCCATTGTGCAATTGTATGAGAGTCTGAGTCTTTTTATATCACTAGCAAAGCCACCAATGTTTCATCGACTCTTTGCAATTGACACTTCTCGCTAGGTCGATACTCATTCCAGATGAAGAGGCTCTTTGTCTGCAGTATTTGTTTTTGTACTCGGTTTCTTTTGTTTTGGACAACCATGAAACAGCAGGCTTACAGCCTTGGTACGGTAGCAGGTGTTTGGGGAGGGTAGACACCGAATATTAAGTTACTGGATGGCAGAGGACAGACGACTTACAATGTTTCCTTACGTCAACTTGTATGTCGTACAAAGAAGAA